TTGTGCCTGTACAGGACCTGTAAGTCTGTATTCTGGGAACCAGCGGGAGTGGCAGACGTGCCCAGAGACCCCAGGTTCCAACATTCTGGCCCTAGTGACCAGAGTGATCTGAAGTGAGGAAGACAGTGTCTCCTCACCTCGGGAGAAGGGAGATTGGCTTGGCTACTCCCCTCCTGATCTGTAGTTTCAGTTTTGAGTCAGAGAGTGCGCCGAGGATTTTTGTTGTCTATCTGTATCTGTATTTGGGGACCCTGAAAGTAAGAATGGTGAGTGTTGTGTGTGTCTGGGTGTAAGAAGGACCGGTCCACTTAAATGTGATATAACATGGTGTGTGTGTACTTAATAGTATATTAGTATTTTTTTTTAAAAAAAGATCTGGTTTTGTATTTTTCTCTACACTCTCTATTTTAAGCCTTCTCTGTCTCCTCTGTCTCTCTTTTATTCTTGATCCAGTCTTCGCGAGGGACCGTTAAAGGCGAAGGAGCAATTGAGGTTTTCTGGTCAGGGCCACTCCCTGACGTAAACCAAAGGCTCTTAGCCCTCTTGGCGGACCCCGACTGCCCACACGGGTGGAGACAGGACGGTCTTTCTATACCTTCCTTTCTCTCTAGCCACTAAAAGCCCGCGGGCACGGGTCGAGCAAGTAAGAGCCACAGGGCGCTCGCCGCTAAAAGACTCCCATGAAAGGATAAGGGGGTCCCAGGCATGAATCCCAGATAAATTCACATCCCCCGCAGAAGAAAAACTGGGCAACAACAGGCACCCGTCCCTTTATCTCTTTCTCTCTTTCTTCTTATTTTTCTCCATTTCTCTTCTAAAAGTCTTTTACCATGGGTCAATCACTGATTACTCCCTTGAGTCTGACTCTAGAACATTGGAAGGAAGTTGTAGAGCGAGCCTGTAATCTATCACTAGAGGTCCAGAAGAAGTGGCAGAGTCTCTGTTCCTCTACATGGCCCTCCTTTGAAAAAGGATGGCCAAGAGATGGGACTTTTGATCTTACTACTACCTTACAGGTTAAGGAATATATTTTCCATCCAGGGCCACACGGGCACCCAGATCAGGTGGCCTACATAGTCACCTGGGAAGACTTGGCTCGGAACCCCACATCTTGGGCACGACCGTTCCTAA